ATTTAGTCTAGAAGCATTCCCCAAGATTGTTTACAATAGTTTTGAAAGCAATTACAGAGTTTAATCAGGCCATTTAAACTAGCGTTGTTGAAGAACGGCACTGAAACTAAATTGCAAGATCAGTTTTATCCCAACCCCTCTGTTCTTTCTCCAATTTAAATTTGAAGTCTTAATTTACGTCTAGTATCCAGTCAGACCTTGGTTGATTTCAGTAAGATTCAAAATAAAAATTAGAATAGTGGGACGTTATGCCAAAACAGAGTCAAGAAAACATACGCGCTATAATTATTTTGTAAATAAATTTTGCACAGATAAAATGATCAAGCAAATCATATGTCAAACATGCATGGTTCAGTTTAAGGCCAATTAATCTCCTAGAGACTGTCTAGGTGCACAGAACACAAGCCAAATGGAAGGAGAAAGTGAAGAACTTGCCTGTACAGTTTTATAAACAGAACCTTGACGCCGTTGTTCTAAGCTTTCCGGCAACCACTGACTACCTTCTAGCCTCCTCTGGTTCTGATCTAATCCACCAAACACCTCCCTTGGTCCTCTCTGTTATTCTCCTTAACAGACCGTTACGACGCTCTGTTCTCTCAACTTCTCTCTTTACTGTATACGGGAATATGGTGAATAGGGTTTTAGAAACCCTCGGCAGACGTATACCCATATATTTATAGAGTTATACCAAAACCCTACATTAATTAGAGCCCTAACCAAATCCTAACCGGCCCATAGAACTTAATTAAATCCTGTGTCGGCTAAAAAAACTAAACCCTCAATTATGAAAATAAAATAGTTCATTAAAATACTTCCTAAATTACTTCCTAAATTAAAACCTTTAATAATCAATTAAATAAAATAAAATGCAATAAAATGCAATTTAAACAAATAAATAGATACCAATTAAATACACGTCACACCGGTAAACAATTAAATAAAATAATTAAACCAAATAATCATGCAAAAATACAACAAAAATAATAAATAAATGCCGAGACTATCCTTTTAAATTAGGGGTATTACAAGGTGCCTGTTTGAGGCCATATAGAGCCCTTCGGAGTTGACACAACTTATTAAGAGGATGATGATCACCTGGGGGAGGTTGCATGTAAACTTCCTCAAGTAAATCTCCAACGAGAAAGGATTCTTAACATCCATCTGAAAAAGTCCCGAATGGCGAGAAGCAACCACAACAATAAGTGTGTGAACAGAGGGAAAACGTGCAATAGGAGCAAATGTCTCCTCAAAATCAATGCCATACTCCTGTGTGAAAACTTGATTGATGATTACCTTAAGGTCAGTTGCATAGAATGCAGATGAGAAAGATGAAAACTTGTTAGGAGTGCTAGACACGGGTATTGGAGCTGAAGCTCGTGACTGTAATGGCATAATGCAAGAGGTAGCCATAATTGGAGTAAGTGAAGTCAGTCTAGCACCATTGCGACACTCCTGAAAAGAATGCCCTCGAATCTAACAAAAAATGTAATAAAGAGAGTAATCATAGCGGCAGTGACATCCATTATGATGAGAGGATGTTGACTGAAAAGCCACTGTGGGAGTTTGCAAGCATGTCCTCCTTTGGTCAAGCTCTTTCTTAACAACTTGAATAAGAGGAATAATTCCATTTTGTGTCCTTTAAAAATCTTAAATGCAAAAATGGACTGCAAATTTGGAATCAGTGTGAAAAATTAGGCTGGATAGGTGTCTTCGAAAAAAAAATCTAATACTACTGACGTAGTAGGGGAAGTCCCTGTGTTGACATGGCTTGATGAGAGAAGACTAGGGCTAACGTGGCAACTGACTTGCCAAATGACGTGGCAGCTAATGTGGATTGCTGACGTGGTACTAGGTCCCAATGCTACCGTGGTAGTTGACTGGGATGCTGACGTGGCAGAAAGTGGGGACAACTGATGACAAGGACTGCTGACGTGGCAAACAGGGTCCCAATGCTGATGTGACGGCTAGCTGGGCCACTGACGTGGTTGAAAGTGGGACCAAATGATGATGTGTCTTATTGACGTGGCCGGTGATGCTGGGAACTGATGCACGTGTGAACGTTAAGAGAGTGAGTTGACGCGCGTAGGCGTGTGTGCGCATGGTGCGGCGTGAATTTGACATGCGTATGGCGCTGTTGTCAGCGTGTGGATTCGCATGAGGATATCGAAGAAGCAGCATGCCCTTGTGGAGGCGTGTGGGAGCGCGTGCAGGGTCGTTTATTCTTGTTTTTGGTGGCGTCGGGATGGTCTGAGTCTGTATTTTTGCCTGGAATGATCAGAACTGATAAATAACTTCTGTAAGACATATTCGAACACCAAACAGAATATGTGTTCCTGATAAAGTATTAGAATGGTACCAAGAATTTTAAAATTAAAAAATAAAGGAGTAGGAAAAATCCTTGCTCTGATAGCATGTTAGGAGTATAGAGAGAGAGAGAAATACAATGTATTGTATTGATATGAGATATGCATAATACAAGAGTATATCAGGGTATATATAGGAAAGGTCTATTTGGAGAACAAGTAAACTCCATATAAGGTAATGATATATATGGTAACGAGGGTAGGTGAAGACGGCTAACCCTAACCCTATAATACAATACATAAATTTAGTTGAACGTTGTATTAGTGTTTGGAAGGTCTGGTGCCAATTTAAATACACGTGGCTCCTTTCCCATTCCCAATATAAAGATTAATTGTTGTTCCATGAATGACAATACACAATTTTATACAACAAAAAGTAATAGTTGATGCCGAATTTTGATTATACGACAACGATGAAGGTTATTTCAATGACAATGATAATGTGGACAACCGTTACTTTAGACCAACACAATCACGGAGAAATGAGCATTATACATTATGTGATTGCTAATTCAATATGGCAACCTACAAGATAAATCGTTCCATAATCTTTTTTATGTCATTAAATTGTAACTAAAAGTTTTATTTAATTTTTTCTTTTAGTCAATTATTAATTATTTTGAAATTAGTAGTTAAATTCTTTATAAACTCTGGCATGTTCACATTTTTCATTAAAAAATTATCATCTTCTTCAAATAAAATTTACATTATTTATTTGTTAATATAATTATTATGCAATTTTATTGGTACAAATGTTCTAGCTAATTGTTCATTAGTTAGATGTTTAAGTATTTCTTTTACACAAATCTAATATTACTTCAATAATTGCATAAAGAATTATTTATACCAAAAGGACATTTTAATTAAGGTTAATTACAACGACACCCCCTGAGGTTTGCCGAATTGACAGACATATATAAGTTAGCCATTTTTTTAACACTCACACCCCCTGTCAGAAATTTAATCCAAACAAACCCTTAAAAGTTATGAAAAGACAAAATTGTCCTTCAATAAAATATCAATTATTAATCTAAAATATCAAAAATATGTATATGACAGAATTACCCTTTTTTAAATAAAAGGTTTCTCCATTTAGGGAAAAAAAAAATCATAGGTTTGCTCTCTATCTTTACCCTCTCAACCCATCGATCTCCTCGATTTCCTTTGATACTATCAGAGTGAGCTTGGAAAGCTCACTGTTCACCAATGATGCATCATCATAGTCGCCGAATTCGTCGAACGCCTGTTCCCAGTCGACACCCTCAAAATCTGCATGCAGACAATTGGGTCTTCGTGCCCATCTTCAAACCTCTCACTTCGGCCAACCTTTAGCTCCATTCTCAAGCTCGAAGGCTCTACCGTCCTCTATCGCGGTATCATCGCCATTGGTTTCGATGTCAAAATTAGGGTTTTGGGGTTTGAATTAGGGTCAACGAGCACGAGGCAGTGAAGATATCGAGGCTTCAATTTTGTCAGAGCAATGGAAATTTATGGTTCGTAGAGAGGGATTGCGCCGACGATGGTGGTTTGGCAACCTTTATTCCACCACCAATTGCTCCTCCGTTTCTTCGAAGTGATGGTGGGGATGGTTGTGATGGGGTTGTGGATTGGTGGTGGTGATCGGTGGCGAGGTTGGGCAGTGGAGTGGTGGCGGGTATGGTTGGGCCGTGGAGTGGTGGTGGGGGTGTGATGTGGTGGTGGGGGTGTGATGTGGTGGTGGTGGGGCTGTGATGTGGTGGTCGTGGGTGTGGTGTGGGTGTAGGTGTAGCGGGGCTATGAAGAAGAGAGGGAAGAGAGAGATGCGTTGGTGATGGTGGCTATGGTAGTGTGCCGCCAGTGGAGGTGGCAACCACCCTCTTCTTCTCCGATTCTCTCTCTCTCTCTCTATATATATATATATATATATTATATATATATATATAGAGAGAGAGAGAGAGAGAGAGAGAGAGGAGATGCCCTCACTCCCAAAACAAAAACTGAAGACTATCACACGCTGGGTGACTTTGGCGCCTCAGTTGTATCCTTTTGATGCAGAATTGTTGTTTTTCGACTTATGGGACTTTCGGCCGCCCTCTCTCTTCCAATCTCAAATCTTTTTCCGCTTACTGTTCTTAGTTAGAAATATGGTAAAGTCCTTATTTGGAGTAGTTAAAATATCGCCACCATCATCGAAATAGAGGGCGAACCCAGGTTTCAACCTCGGTACTTAGATTTTCCTCGATGTAGTGTATATATATACACATATATGTGTATTCGGTGTATGTATACGGTATAGTAATGAATGGTAAGTTTAGTTAATTAAAATTACTTAGAAGGTTAAATTTGTAATTTCAAAATCTCAATGATTTAATTGACAAGTCAAAGGGTAAATTGGTCAATTTTTAAAATGTCGGTGTACAGATGGTGTTAAGTGGTGTTTTGTCAACTTTATCAAATTACAGGGGGTCTCATTATCCAAAAAAGGATTAACTTATATATGCCTGTTAATACGACAAATCTCGGGAGTGTCGTTGTAATTAATCCTTTTAATTATTACGAAGTATTATTTTTTCCTAACTCGGTTAAAATACTAATGAAAACCTTTTCGTTAATAACAGCGTCCTTCAATAAAACGTAAGGACCCGAGAGCGCCAATAAGCCGTTTAAACTTCAAAAAAACGCACTCTCTCTCTCTCTCTGTCTCTCTCACACACACTACACACACTGTGCTCTCAGTTCCTCATGGATCGTCATCAAGCCTGATCTTCATCTTCCCCATTTGAAGCCTCTCTCTCTCTCTCTCTCTCTCTCTCTCTCTCTCTATTTATGAATCAGAGATGCCTCTGAGATCTGTCAATGGATGGGGAGGCTAACCTTCCGGCCCCACCTGCGCCATCGTCGACCAAGAACAACTTCTTCCGTCCGACCAACCCAGACTCCAATCTCACACGTTCATTCACCTCCACTTCATCGTCTTCCTCATCTTCCTTCTCATCGTCTTCTCCAGGCTTCATCCGGGATGTTCGAGCTGCCTTCAAGCGCCATCGCCCTCTCGGTAAACACACGAATACACGATCTCTTTCTAACGTCATTTCTCTTTCTAAAATTTTCCGTTTCGTCGAAATTTTGGGTTTTTTGTTGGTTCTTCATTGCAATGACATACTCAATTTGAAAGTTTTGCGTGTAGGTCACTTTGTACTTCACTGAAGAAAAGTTAGGGTTTTATTTCGGGTTCTTTATTGCTAATTTCAATGAATGGTTTTTTGCTTTAAAATTTTCTATGTTTGCTTCTGTATATTTAAATGTTCCATTATTCTTTACTGGAAGTAAAATTAGGGCTTTTTATTGGAATGTGTCCGTCATCTTATTGAAAACTCAAATTGGGGTTTTGTCTCAATATTTGGTTTATTTGGCTCAAATTTCTAAGGTTAGGTTCCACTAATTTTCGCTGAAAAAGTTTATTTATGGCCTTCTGATTTTATGATGCAGTGACAACTCAATTTAGGGTTTACTTTCATGTTGTGCTGCGTTTGCTTGTATATCACTCTGTGGAGGATGGTTTTCCTGTTATGATTTGTTGATGGACTGAGAACCTTACACGTCAAAGTTGTTATCTTTTAATATTAATTTTGTAATGTTTACTATGCTGAAATTGCAGGTACAATGCAGTCTAACAATATAAGGCCAAGGCGTATATTGGTCCCCCCTCAACAAGAAACATCAAAAAATTTAGCGTCAAATGTGGTTTCTAAAATGGAAACTGAGAAGCCCCAGAATGAGAATTCACTGAGTCACAGGGTGAGGGATTCCATTGCGTTGGCGAAAGGCATGGTCCCCTTTGTTAGAGAAACTCAAGAGGATGCATTGATCTGCCCACCCTCCATTTCAGGCACCATTGCGAATACATATGAAGAGAGTTCTAAACCCTTTGATGTTGATATTGATCAGTCCAGGCCCTCCACTGATTGTAAAAACAACGATACAGTGTCTTCATCACTTGTAGAGTCTCAACGCCTTCCGTTGGTTGATAGTCAGAAGAAGGTGCAGTTTGCATTGGGAAACAATGCGAGGCCTCAGGGTAAGAAATTGCCGAACTGTTAGCTTAGGTATAATAAATGCATTATTAGTAGCTTTCTCTGTGACCCTGTGATATAATTTTCTTAAGTTGCAAAATTTTGACTGTGTTGCATGTAAGCTGATGATTTGCTAATTATCACCTATTGGAAACTAGGCATTGTTCATATCAAATGTCAGTAGTATGCAATATGTTTTGCGTTCTCTTTCGATCATTTTGTCTATGCAGGGGCCGATGACCGAATGGCCACCAGAATGGACAACTTATTGTCTCATATGGATTCACTTGCATTGACAGAAACAGAACGGGATGTGAGCAATCAAGTAGAGACTTCGACTGCTATCAGTCATCATGACTTGAAGCACCAGAATTTTCAAAGCATGGAAGTGGATTTTAGTTTGAGGTCTGATGGTGGGATTTCTTCTTTGTTGGAAAAAAGAACAATGGGAGTTCAGGATCAGCTGCATGAATTCAGAAACTTTTTGCAGAGTGACCCAAACTACAACATGACTCAATCTTCAGTTGTTGGGTCATCTTGTGCTACCACAACGTTAATCAATTCAGCTTCTGTTCCCCTGCCAAATTCAATGACCTACTGTTCTCGTCCTGTACAAAATAGTGGTTCTCATGTGGCTGTAGAGTCTTTGGGAGATTGTGATGTGAATTTTCAACCCAGGACCCAAGGAGACATGGTTGTTGGATCGTCTTGTGCTACCACAATGTTACTCAATTCATCATCTGTTCCCCTGCCAAATTCAATGACCTACTGTTCTCGTCCTGTGCAAAATAGTGGTTCTCATGTGGCTGTAGAGTCTTTGGGAGATTGTAATTTGAAATTTCAACCCATGACCCAAGGAGACATTGTGCAACCATCATATCTTTCACCGAAGTATACCAGTGGAACACTGGCTGACCAGACAGCCATTGCACCCCAACCTACCAACTCTGCTGTTGAAACACAGCTGGAAGTTAAGGATTTTAAATTGTGTGACGAGCAGCAAAGCAGTGTGCCGAAGGAGAGTGCCATTCCGAAAGATACTTCCTGTCCTGATGACAAATCAACTAAGGTAGGCGATGATACTGATATACAACATCAGGCTCTGTCATCAAATAAACCATCGTTGGATGTGAAGTCAGAATCTTGTAGATCAGGAAAACAGGAAAAATCTGTAAGTGGGAAAGCAGCGCCAGCTCCTCGTAAAAGAAATTATGATCCTGACTTGTTTTTTAAAGTTAACGGGAAGCTTTATCAAAGGCTAGGTAAGATAGGTAGCGGTGGGAGTAGTGAAGTCCACAAAGTTATTTCATCAGATTGCAAAATTTATGCCCTGAAGAAAATAAAGCTTAAAGGTCGCGATTATGCTACTGCATATGGATTCTGTCAGGAGATTATGTATCTGAACAAGCTGAAGGGGAAAAACAACATTATTCAACTCATTGATTATGAGGTATGCAGTTAGTCTATAGTTGAGTAATGTGGCAAGTAGTGGTAATTTTTGTTTGAGTTGTAATTGCAGATCATGCCCTTGTCATCTGACATATAGAGTTATTCAGAAAGAATGGATGTTATTTGTTAAAGAATTAACCAATATTGATTGCTGTAGCAACATAAAATTCTATTCAGATAAGTCTAGTGTCAGTCTGTATGTTGTTGTTGTCATTGTAAATATAATTAGAAATTCGAAGCACAACCCAAGAAGGAGATGTGGATAACTTGCTTTCTTTGTAATTTTGCATGCTTATATAGGCCTTGTGGGTAGAATCATAGAATTCTACAAATGCATCCTCAAGCTACAACAAGCCTACTTTGGCCTGTTAGATTTGTGTTTTCGTATCACTTAAGATCCTAACAAAACGTGGAAGTAAATAAATTAACTTGGAACCATGAAAATCGCGTTAATTTAGGGGGAGTCTGGTTCAGTTCCTTGAATAGAAACAGGAAATGGTTTTCAGAGAACTACAGAAGGAGGCTTTTGGAAATCAGGCCTTTTTTTAAACTCAGTTTTCAAATAACACTTTAGAAAACTATCAACCAAATGAATTTTCGAATTGTTCTTTATTTTTTAGAACAAAAAGTTGTTCCCTGAAAACTGAACCAAGCTCCCTTGCTATTTTGAAACTGCTAATTTATAGATCTTTTAATTTTCATATCTTTGTGCAAATAATGTCAAAGGTCAGATATGCTCTCAGTCTACCCCTCCGAGGATCCTTGGTTAACTGGAGCCTAAACCGTGTGATGGCAAAACCATATCTTGAGAGATGGATCCATAATAATGCCAGAATCCTCCTTTTTCCCTCAAATACTTTTTGATTATTCATGCTATTAGAATATTCTCTAAAGTAATGAAACCAATTTAATTATTAAAGCAGAGACAATGAAATGCAACTAAACCCCAAAACTGCCTCTCTTTATTTTTTGACGTCTATAAATTAGTTAGAACAAAACAATGGGATTTGATTTGGACTTGAGGTAAAAATCCTGACACTTCAAAATTGAAACCATTACAAAGTCATTACCCAATGTTGGTGTGACATATATGGGGTGCTGGATGGAAAAGTCTGGACACAGGCCTAATCTTTTGACATTATTTTTGCACAATGTGGCTACTTGATATGAATTCACGTCCTCAAGTTTTTTAGCTTGTGTTTTTAACATTACACCGAGCAATGACCCCTCTGTGGTGGAATTTAAACCAAAACTTGTACACCAAAGGAGAAAGAATAATATGGGATCGACATTATTATCTCTACATGCCATAAATGTCCCCCCCCCCCCCCCCCCCCCCCTTTCGGGTAGTGGAAGAGATGCCACTTGAGGGCTTGGTGGTAAATATAGCATAGCTGTTTACTATTTGTATAGAAAATTTTGAATGTTTGTTTGCTAGCTTGTATTGCTTAGGTCAGAAAACCTAGTCTTGTGAGGTGGCGTGTATCTAACAGTGGCATGGTGCCAGATGCATGCATCAAATGCTTGTTTCAGAGGATGAGGTTCCTGGAGATATGCCAAGCTCTTAGAAATCCTTAAACCCCTCAAGCAGGCATTAACTATTAGGCTGCATGGGTTATGGTAGTACCATAGGAGGTTAGAGGGAAACCGTAGCCTGGTTAGTTCATGTGCTGCTTGGGTCATTAGTTGTTACTACCTTATGCTGAGGTTGTGCGAAGGCAGTTCATGCTTTGGTGTTTAGACAGATTGGTTGACAGCTGCCATGCAGCAAACGCAGAATGGGGTGACGCCAACTAATATAGATGAAACATGACCTAGTGGTATACTGGTATCAAGTGCTTACAAAAACTTTTCAAGACCCCTTTGAATACAATACCAATCAGTCCCTATAGTTTAACAAGCGCTTTTCACATTTTCACCATAATGCTTACAAGATTACAAATTTTCAGTGTTGCACTAATATCTGTATATCTTGATATGTGTTTTACAATATTGACATATCGATGAGAGCCGAAATTAAAGACCTTGAGGATTGTGCCAATGTTTAGTGACACGATATTATTTGTGACATGACCTAGTGGTATACTGGTATCAAGTGCTTACAAAAACTTTTCAAGACCCCTTTGAATACAATACCAATCAGTCCCTATAGTTTAACAAGCGCTTTTCACATTTTCACCATAATGCTTACAAGATTACAAATTTTCAGTGTTGCACTAATATCTGTATATCTTGATATGTGTTTTACAATATTGACATATCGATGAGAGCCGAAATTAAAGACCTTGAGGATTGTGCCAATGTTTAGTGACACGATATTATTTGTGCCATGTTTTTATGCCATCATCTTAGTAGTTTAACTTTGTGATATGCTAGAGATAATGCAGAGAAAATTATTGAAGTTCAATTTTTTGTTAGGACTGCAAACGAATCGAGGTGAGTCAAGTGTCTGTGTCTTGAGTCCATCTTAATTTAAATTAAAAACTGTTCGAGTCTGGATCAAGCCCAATTTGAGCCTAACAACATTGTTCGAGTTTAGCTTGGTGACTAGTCACCAAGAGCATGAGTCAGCTCAGCTTGTTTGTACCAAAGATTCAAAACAAGATGAGTCTGGACCACCCATTTCTCAAGCCCTCATTGTCTCAGTTGGAAAAATGAATTTGAAATATAAAAGTCAGAAGGAAAAGAACACTCTATTTCAGCAACATCATCTTATGTGTACCCAAGCCTAGATTCATGAAGTTCTCTAACTTAGCGATATAAAATGGACTAAACATTCTATTATGAGTACAAATTTGCACTAATCATTGTTCACGAGCTTATTTGAGCCGAAAATGAATCTGTCACTAAGCATTGTTAACCCATGCTCAGCATGTTTACAAGTTGAAGGATTTGAAAAAGCTAACTCGTGAGTCGTGAGCTAAGCTTGAGCTGTTTATAAACTAATGTTTTTATTTTATTTATTTTTGCATCTTCAATTTTTATTTTTAATTTGGGAATTGTTAGAGGACTAGCCAAAGTATATATGACATCTTTGGTACTTTAGAAATTTAGTCATGAGTGCTAACATCATATGAAATTTATAATAAAAGAGGTAGGGAACTTTCCTATTTTGTAATTCTCATGACCCCACCCCCAACTTTAGCTATGAAGCACCTTTTATCCACTTCAAGATGCATGTGATATATACACAAGTAACATAATACATAAGATCCGTGCACATTTGTTTGTTTTGGTCTTTTTTTTTTTTATATATATATTTTAATTCTTTATGAGAATTATTTTACTATTTTTTCACGGCTATATCAAGATGAAAATGATAAATTTTAGTCTCTCTTTTGATTTCTTTGAGTTGTCCAAATAAATCAATCTCTGTACTATGTAAAATTTGACACCATTTATTTACACCCTTTTACTTCAGAGGGAGCCTAATTTTTATTTTATTATTATTTTTTTGTACTTTTTATTTATATATTTCCTATATTTCTGAAGGCATGTGGGAATTTGATATTGGAGATTGAGTTCTAAAAATTTTGTAGGATAAATTTAATTTTAGTGATGTGGTAAAATTTCAAATGTAAAAGTGTCTAATAGAATTTTTACATCTGTGTTTTTCTTTTAAGTGAATCATTGAAAATATTTGAAATTATGATATCTTTAGAGTTGGGTTTTTTCTTTTCTCAACATAGGCAATGCCATAAAATGTGATTCTATTTTAGAAATATGTCTTGCAAACTCGACAGAATAAAGCAGGCCATAATTCAATTTCTATAGTATTGCTTCCTGCGGTAGTTTTGAAATTCCCTAGCTTAGCTTTATTCTCAATGTACTATGTCGCTCTTGGTTATTAATGCATTATTGCTCTTCTTTTTACATGAATACAATATCTTGGTTTTTCTCTCTTTCAATTGGTGCTAGTTCACTGTTTCACAAATAGACCAATTGTTGTTAACAACTATAGGTTTCTTTTTTTTTTTTTTTAGCTGGCATTATTTTCACTAAATTAGCCTTCAGGTTGGGTTGGCTCGATCTCTTGCAGGAATGATGATTCAAAATGCTAGCCTATATTTCCCCAAATAATAGAACAGGGCTTACTAAGTTGGAATCTTTATGATCCATATAGGCATCTTTGGTGTTGATATCAAGATGTTGTTACCCTTCCTGCCTAATGCCTGTTATTTTTTCCAAGTTTAAGTTCAAACACCAATCAAGATATGGCAAGTACTCTAATCCTTGTACATATTCAACTTTGTACTGAACCCCAATCCAAGCAGTTCGTGTGCCTACTTTTTTGAACCTAACTTATGGTGTATCCCTTGCTTAGAGTTTGAGCATCCTCCAGTTCAACAGAAGCACAAAATTTTTGAAGCAAATTAAATAATTGAGGAAAAACTTTACTAACTGGAAGCTTTATTTTTCTCATCATAAAGTTATGTTCAGAATCCTTTTTCTCTTATGTAATTGAATAACATATGATACTTCCTTCTAATATCCTGTTCTTTCTTAGGTGACAGATAAGACTTTGCTTCAGGAAGTTTTGAATGGTTCCATGAATAATAAGGATGGCAGAGTCAAGGAAGATGGATATATATACATGGTACTTGAATATGGTGAAATTGATTTGGCGCACATGTTGTCCCAAAAATGGAAGGAGATGGATGACTCTAGTTTGACCATAGATGAAAACTGGCTTCGGTTTTACTGGCAGGTCCTTAACCAACTCCTTACCTTGTTTCTTTCTTTTCTTTTCTTTTCTATTTATTTATTTGTTTCTCCAGTTCTAGTTGATTAGAAGTTTATTTAGCTTTTCATTATTGAGAAGATTTGGTTATGTTTGTGTTTGCTTAAACCTTGGTATCCATAATACAAAGAAAGGCTAGAATTGATGCCTGCATTGGTTCTTCTTTTCCCCATTTGAACCGGTTTATAAAATCTGATTTTGTTGATGGCAGGTTGTTCACTATTCTGTGTCCTTTTCTTATGCCATTTCTTTGGGATCTAATTTGCCATACATTTATTTTCAAATCTCTGAATGTTCCCTGCATTCCTCATAAATCAACTATATAGAACTCTCATTAATCAACCTGGACTTCCAGAAGTTGTTGTTGGGAGTTTGAAATTATCTGTCACTAAATATTTTAGCCTAGGACATGCCATTGTTTTTACTGTACTGTATTTTTATCTTTGTTTAGTTGGCAAGAACCAATAAAGTTGACCTGCTAAAAAAGAATTGTATATTTTAAATAGTCAGTAAGCTCTTAATGGGCATGTCTCCAATCTAGACCATGTTGAATCAGAAGTCCTGTAAATTGTATTAAGACATATATACCCGACTCTCTAATACATCAGAGTATGCTATGCTCAATTAGGACTAGTTTGGTTGGGGGGGTGGGGGGGTTGTTGATGAATAGGTTTTTTGGCACTTTGATTATTTTTACTTTATTTCAATTTTAACAATCAATTAAAGTTTAATTATCAATCAGTAAGTACAGAAATATAAAGCATAAAACATCCACAGGCATGGAAACTCCAACAGAGAAAAATCACGGGATCTGATCTAGGAAAATCAAATCAATTATGACAAAGAGATTTACACTAGGTTAACAGTTCCCAAATCCTAAAACCCCTTAGTTTTCTCTTGACATAGACTGATCCACCAAACTCACACTCAAACAGAGTCTTCAGGCACACAGTATCTTCTATCGATGGATTTACTCCTCACAAGATTATTTTGTCTAATCAGTGAATTGATCTCCAATGACTCCTCGTCAAATCCTTTGATGCATTTTTGTTGTGGTTGACCAATCTTCAAATATTTAATGAATCTCCTTGCTTTAGAACTCAATCACACAATATAACACAATACTGATTAGAAAATAAAGATCTCAATCTCTCTCACAATTGTGTAGTTGTGTCTCTTATATCTTTGTGATTTAGAGCGCCTTGAGACACATTTTATAGTTTTAGAGCGATTAAATATTGATTAGGAATTTTTTGAAAAGTTTAGAAACCTTTTTAGTAATTGACAATGCGTCGTCTATCGAGTATGGGCATCCACTTGGACCAATCAATATATCAGTCGAAACCTTCTCGGTTATCCTTGATGATCAAGCCTTCGTTCGAGCTATTCTACTGTAACTGCGATCGATCGAGATTCAGGTTTGATGGATTGATCTTTCCAGTTGAACGTCACTATACATATTCTGACTATGGTGTTAAAAACACACACACACACACACACATAAATATATATATATGGTAGTGTTCAATTGTTCCCTGGTGAGCAGGGAGCAATATACTCACTTTTTCTCATAGCCTTAGGATCTAATCCAACGTTTATGAGGAGAATAGTTATTTTAGGAAATTAACATTATTTTAATTAGCTATTAATTATGAAATGACTATATTGAATACATTCTTAAAAAAAATATAACCACGAACTGCCATCACCCCACCGTCACTGTCACCTCTACCCTGCCACCACCTCCTCCACCACCACCACCACTTACACCACACCACCTCCACCCAGACAAATTTGATGGCTACTTTTAACTAAGAATTACCAAATTTACAAATTAATTGGCGTCCTTATAATTATTGGTGTGTGTGGTGGTGGTGGGTGGCAGTATGGTGGTGATGGAGGTGGTAATGTTGTGGTGTGGTTGGGGGAGGTGGTCATGGCAGTGGGGGAGGAGGTGAGTGGTGGTGACGGACCAATAGTGGTGGAAAGGGACATAATTAAAGTTTAATCAGATTAAAAAAATTTATTATTATTTTTAAAAAAGTATCCAATATAGGCATTTCATAATTAATGGCTAATTAAAAGAAAGACAATTACCTAAAATAACCATTGTTTCAATTAGCTGTAGGATTAGATCCTAAGGCTATGAGTAAAAGTGAGTATATTGCTTCCTGCTCACCAGGGAGCAATTGAACACTACTGTGTGTGTGTGTGTGTGTATATATATATATATTTCCTGGGTAGTTAAAAAACATTTTTGTGTGTTGGCATATTTCGTAGTCAAGACCGATTTTATGGAGTTGTAATTTTTATTCATTTTGGTTGGAAGTGCTCAACAAGTATTGATTGATCATCAAGAGATAATTCCTGAAGAACTTGATTCAAACAACACTTACGGTCATATAAGTGGGTGAATGGTGAGGACTCTTTAAGTGAAAACTATTTGAACAATTTTGGTGCAAAAATTGCTAATTGTTTAAAATAGATTAAGGTTGCACCAGTTGTAGTTTTTCTTGCACTAGTTGAATAGGCTACTGGACGGACATATTGAAATTCCAAAGAGCTATTCTACTGGTAGTCAATTCCTTGTACCTCTTGAATGTGATTCTAGTGGAATAATGCTTTCATCCAGAAAGCTGCTGTGCTGGTAGAGCATTTGGTTGTTCCGTATGAAATGAATATGCTTATGTAGTAAAGTTATTTGAGTCCAGAATGCTATTCTACCAGTTGAATAAATTCTTGTACCGCTAGAGCCTTACCAACTTTAACTAGGTTTTTGAGTTTCGATAAGGTTTAATTTTCAATTTGTATCTCATCTCATAGAGTTGTCTTATACTTGTGTTTGATGACCTTTTCATCTATAAAGAGAACTTTTTATCTATAAAAACTAAGCTAAAAATTTGTTCAAATACATGCGAGGATTACTAAAAATCATAGAGCCTTTTTGAGAAAAACTAGCTGAGATTTTCTATTTCCAATTTTTTCAATTTAAACATGTACTTTTGCACTTAAGTTTTAGTAGTGTGTTGTTCATTCTGATTGTGTGAATTCGAGCCTTACAATCAAATATATTGAAGTGATTATAGCAACAGATTCTTCTCACACAGTTGTGCATTAGTATTGTTGGCGATTTCGAAGGCACTAGAACTGGAAAACACTGAACGTCAGAGATATATCAATAGCATGTGGTTTTTTCCTCGCTAATCTTTTCTACGTTAAAGAAATCCCTGGCATCATCTCTCTGTCTCTCTCTGTCTCTCTCTCGCTCGCTCGCTCGCTTTCTCTATTTTCTTACTTGCTCTTTATTTCTGCATTGTGATTGTGTTGGCTTGTTTACTGCGTTCTAAATCATTATAATTGAACAAAATTTTAAAAATGCAAAAGACGAAACTAGACTTATCCACCCTCTCTAGGTCTTTCTAAACTGAAATATATGTCATAGACCCCTTGCGCATGAGGGCAATATTCATTCGGACACTTTGTGGACTGGGTGGTGTTGGATGCTTTCAGTTCCTCGGTTTGGATTCTTCTAACGTGGGACAAGAGATGGGTATCCGAGCTGGAGATGTGGATTGGAAGATTTTCCGTGTCCTGTAAGTTCTCCGTGGAGGATGGTTTTCGTTGGGTCTTTTCTGGAATTTATGGCCCTGTTGAGGACGGAGAGCGTCATTTGTTGTGGGAGGAGCTTGGCTCTGTACAGAGAAGATAATCTCTTCCTTGGTGTGTTGGTGGTGATTTCAGTGTGATTAGGTCTACAATGGAAGGGTCGACTGGAGGAAGGTGGACCCCGGCGATGGAGCAGTTTTTGGACTTTATTGATGATTCCCACGTGATTGATTTACCGATGAAAGGAGCGTCTTTCACTTGGTCTAGTGGCACTCTCTCCTACTTTGTCTCTTTTTGATCGATTCCTCTTATCTGGTAGGTTTTGAATGTGCAAGAGAAATGAGGAGATGGTTGATCATCTTTTGTTGCACTACCCTGTGGCTTTTTTTGTTGAGCTTATATGGAGTCCATTGGGTTATGCCTAGGTCTACCAGAGGTTTGATTTAGGCTTGGAGAGGTTGTACAGTGGATACCCAAGCCCGTGACTTTTGGAGGGTAACGCCTCTATGTGTTTATGGACTGAAAGGAACAGGAGATCCTTTGATGGCAAGGAGACTCCTGTTGGTGCACTAAAGTTCTTTATTCTTTGTACTCTTTTTTGTTGGGTTTAGGGGAGAAATTGTAAATCCAGGGGGAGAAAGTTGATTTTTCGGACTCTTTAAGAGTTTAGTGGCTGGCCATGCATAGTTCGTTTTGAGCTGCGTTCCCCGTTTGAATGCTTTCTAATACAATCTTACTTATAAAAAATAAAAAAATAAAAATAAATAAAAGACCATCACGAAATTCCAAGTGTGCTATTTGTAATTATTTTTAAAGACACAAGGATCAGTTATTTCAGCTTGAGCTTGTTACCAAACTCAACTTTTAAATTGGTTTTCAACTTAAACTCAAAATCTAAGTTTTCTAACCAACTTTAAGGTTTCTAGGTAATGAAATAATGGTCCTTAAATTCTCTATCATATATATCTATATATATATTTTGATAAGTAATAATAACATAAAAAGGCGTTCAAAAGGGGAACGTGTCCCTTATACAAAAATGGAACCGGGGCTAAGGCCGAAAAGAATCCAAAAAAAATAATTAAATCATCAGAAGAAGAGCAAGAACTCTTCTTCACATAATTAAAAAGAGAACGAAGAATGTGATGTTTCACCATTGCCGTAGATGACTCTTTATCTTCAAACATTCTACTATTTCTCTCCTTCCAAATACACCACCAAACACAATGTGGGATGACTCTCCAAAAATCGCGTACATCCCTTCTCACACGACATCCTCCCCATACATGAATCAATTCCTTAGTAGATCGTGGCATTACCCAACACATGCCAAACAACCCGAAAATAAGATTCCGACAGTC